CTATGAAGAAGAACCAGTTCAGATATTGGATAGAAAAGAATAGGTTTTGCGTAGTAAGACTATTCCATTGTTTAAAGTCTTGTGGAGGAATCATGCTATAGAAGAAGCGACATGGGAAAGTGAAGAGCAAATGCGTTCTCAGTATTCCCAGATTTTTTGTACCTAGTTGATCGAATTTCGAGGACGAAATTCTTTTAAGGGGGTGAGTTTTGTAATACTCTAGTCAATTCAAAAAGAAAAGTCAAACTTAAAAAAAAGGACAAAAGAAAAAAAAAAAAAAAAAAAAAAAGGTGGCAGGCGATGGAAACTAATACAAATCCAAACCAAATTCATAACACACACATATCACACAACACACACACAAGAACGGACTAGAGAAGAAAAAGAGAAAGGAAAAAGAGGAAAAAAAAAAGAAAAAGAGGAAGAAAAAGAAAAAGAAAAAAAAAGGAAAAATTTGCCAATGTGTTAGGAATTAAGTGCTCTATTCTATTAGGCTTGAATTTCTCAATTTTGAAAGGTAAGTAAAAAGTTACTTATTGTTAAGTTATGTTTGATTTTGTAGTTGTTAGATTGTTAGGTTAAATTTAATTTTATTGAAGGTGTTAAGTGTAATAAACTATGAAATTGAATAAAATGAAAGAAAAATTAATTTTAGTAATTAAAGAGACGTTAAAAATCGCCTAAACGTGAAATAATTATAATTGGGTATCGCCTATTTAATTAATGAGATTACTTAAATTAGTTAATTATTGATTTAAAAATTATATTATATTTCAGGTGGCGATATGGATATCGGGATAGCGTACCAATCGATTTGATTTTGGCGTACACAGTTCTGTGAGTGGAAAAATATAAATATTTTTAAAGTATTTATAAATTAAGTTTATTGTTAAAGTATGTGTAATTATATGCAATTATGTGTTCAAATTACATGATTTTTATGGAAATATCTTTTATTATGATACACGTGGGATTTCAAAGATTGTATACGTTACATTGTGAATTGGAATATGAGATATGATTTTGAGATCGACCAGAAAAATACCCGTGATTATATGTTTCTTCTAGTTCACTGAGGGGCCTTGGCCGTGTTCTAAACTACACTGAGGGGTCATGGATCGAGGATGAAGGGGTCTCGACCTGTACATATAGTTCACTGAGGGGCCTTGACCATATTCTCGAATTGATTTGGAGAGGTCTTTGAGACCGACTTTCGTTCACGGAGGGGCCACAGGCCCATGGCGAAAGTTCTTAGCCCAAGGGGCGGATTACATATTTCAGTCAAAGGGTACATTTTTGGTGGATTTTTTAGCGCGTTTGATGTGATGAGATTATAGGATGATTATCAGCTGATGTTATATCCTGATTTTAAGATGATATTCTTATGACTTTATGTGAATATTTCACTTTTTGGCTATAATTACATGATGGAAACTTGTGAATTATCAAATGATATGAATTTGATTTTCAATAAAAATGTATAAATGAAAACATATATTTATTTTGAACTTCTCCACTCACTGAGCTATCAACTCATATATTTTTTCATATTTTTCTTTATCAGGCAGCAGTTGAGAATCTGGGCATCTTTTGGAGTTGAGCCTTGATTTTGGAGTCAGAGCCACACGACAGAGTTTGTTTGTATGACTCACTTCATAGAACATGTAGTCAGTGTTTTGGGACGCATATTCATGTCTAGATGTGATTTTGCATCATCTTGTAGATAGTTATGGGGCGCACTATGTATTATGTATATATATGTATATTTTATTGTATTTCTTGGTAAAAGTGGAAAATTCGGCTTATCATTATTGTGCTGTGCTATAGTTTGGAAGTTGTGTGAAATTGATCACAGGTTGGTTAGCCCTGTTTACAGGGGAGATAATACCGAAATTTTATTAGAAAAATGATGTAGAATAAGTGATATATTGTATTTGTAGTAACCTTGACGGTGGGTCCGACTTTTAGTTGGTATCTATCATTGGCGCATGCCACGTCCGGATCTAGTGGTGTTACACGGGGCAGGGTGTGTCAATTTGGATGTTGGCATCTTGACATGTAGCAATAATCAACTTGCCTTGGTATTTGTATTTCAGAGTTGTACCGTCGACTAGAATTAGGGGTCGCATAGCATTTCGAAATCCTCGAATGCATTGTCCAAGAGCCATAAAGAATAATTTGATATAGTTCTTGATCTTCCTCTCAATAAAAAATGTCGAGCCAGGATTAGTTTTCTCCATGTTATGGCAATACCTGGCCAATTTAGCATAACTTTTTTCTACCGAGCCCATTAAATCCTCCAACACGCATTCTTTGGCCTTCTGGTAGCTCATGACTACTCCGTACTCTCGACGAACGTCGTTAATGATGTCCGATGGTCTGTATATTGTCCGTGGATCCTGATACTTGTGAATTATCTGTTGACCAATAAACCAAGCTCGGGCTTGCCTGTGATCATTGCGACAAACTCCCACTTCACAAGTATGTTCTCGTGTATATTTGTGAATTACGAAGCACTCATTCGTGTCCATTTTCATCGCTTGCAAATGCCAACTGCAACTATCATCTACGCATGATAGTGTCAACAACGACCTATTCGATTTTTTCACTCTAAACTCAAAGTTGTATTTCAGTGCAATTAGGTGCGCGGCTTCTTGCAAATCTTTATTCGTTTCAAATAGTTGCTCGACATACAAATTCTCATTATCAGGAACCAAATGTGAGGAGTTAGAGGACGATGCACTCGATCTAGGCCCCGAGGTCCCACCCCACTCATGTCTCTGCCAGGATAAAGTAATCAAGTCCTCATTTGAAAAGTATTTGTGTTTTCATTCTCGTTGTCACGAGTTACGGAGGGGATTCTATGTGCAACTATCTCTTGAATAACCACATCATCTTCACGAACTATTTTCACCGTATCCCAAAAATCATTAGCATTGTGATCCCTACCTTCCGAGTCTACTTGTTCATCTTCGATGATATCTTTCCTTACTAAAGTCACGCAAAGAGGAGTCGTGTGCTTATTGTTCAATTCAATCAGATAATTCACCTCATCAACAAAAGAAATCATTATAGGTGGAATCGAAACTGATGCAAGCTCGCTGAATTTAAATTTAAATTTCATGTTGTACTGAGAAGGATCAACATTCAACTTGTTCTGTAAATCATTATAGAGTTCTACATACGATGTATCTGATGATATGAAAATTGCGATACCACCACGTTTAGCACTTGTCCATTTTCATACACATTGATTTCTTTCATCCAATTCGAAATCATCAAAGTAACAAACTGAGACTAGAACCATATCTGCATGTCAAAACAGAATTTTTAATTACAAGAAAAATATCAACGGCAATAAAAATAACACAAAAAGGGGGGGGGAAAGAAAATAGTTGACAAACAGCCGGCCAAATAACCGGTTGTTTAAATAGACTGTTAAACAGCCGGCCAAACAGTCGATCAAACAGATCAAACAGTCAAATCATCGGCACGCGTCGGGCCATTCCGACAATGTATATGCAGATGAATTTTTTCTAGTCGAATACTTAAAAAAATTACGAATTTATTAATTTTTTTTATCTACATTACCGTTAAATGTCGAAATATAATTTATTGATTTAAACATACAATAATTTAATGAAAACAAGATTAAATTTGCGTATATAAACTTACCGAACCGACGAGATTGATGTCCACAAATTTTTCGGCATCTGATTTTGATAAATTTTTTAGTTTCTGCAGCTGAAGCAGATGAAGGATGAGAGTGTTTTATTTATCTGTGTTGGAGTAAATAAATAAGAAAAGTAGGAAGTGTTTGATTTTTATTTGTTAAGTAAAAGGGTATTGATGTCATTTACAAAAACCAACTTTTATAATTGTATAATGTATTTAAGTGTATTTTTGTTTTTTAGCATTGGATAGATGATTTTCGTAATATTGTGATTTGACTAAGTCAATTTTAAAAATCCCCTCCCGACATCCCCGCGCCCGCGGTTCTACATTTCCAAATTCTTCTTTCTGATTCAATTGCTACCCTGCATACTCTCTCCCTCTAGATTATCTCGATCAATCTCCATATATTTAAGGAGAGCGGACCGCAGTTGGTGGATTTATAGTAGTCTGATGATTGCCGAGTCAAGTCGCTCATTTTTTACTCGGGGTTGATTTCCAAAAAGGATCGGTAATGGAAAGTTTGATATCTTTGTTGAACAGAAAAGAGTTCGCATAGTTGCACTGCACTCGGAGATAATGGAGAAGATAATGCGTTGCCTACTCTCTGGGATGCGTTGTCATCTGTAGCGTTCGTCGGTGGTCAGGTTTGGGAATTTCATTAATTTCTTAGTTCATTTCTGTAAATGTTATCCTATTTCAAAAAAAATAAAATAAAATAATAATAATAATAATAATAATAATATTTTTATATTGATTTGTATTAGCTAAGAATCATCTAATTTTTCTTATTTTTTCTTCATCATAGTTGTAGTGTATGTAGATCTTCATTATGCATTTTCAATCAACACTTGTTTTCTTTTCTTGTTGTATACAATATATCATTGTTTCTGAAATTGTTACTAGGTATCATTTAATTTAAGTTTTTTAATTTGCATCCACTAATTTAATATTGACAAATTATTACTAGGTTGAAAGCTGTGTTAGGACTTCGAGCTCATACAAAAGTTAAAGTAATTTAATTTGTAGAAGATTACTTTTAGATGCAAATGAAGGCCCCTCTGAGAGTTCAAGATTATTTCACAGTTGATATTGATAGGATGATAAGGGCACATAGAATTGATTTTATGGTGTGATCTCCATGGATTTCATCCTTTTTGAAACCTCATTGGGTGTATTGTGAAATGTGAATATTAATACAGATCACTTTATTTATGACCTCTTTCAACATCTTTGCTCGGGATAATAGTAACTGTTTGCTTTTGAAAGATGTCTTTGACAAGTCATTTAGCATTTTGTGGAAACTGATTTCATTTTTATTTGGTTTGTAGAGTTCTGGAAAATCATCAGTACTTGAAAGCATTGTTGGAAAGGACTTTTTGCCTCGTGGATCTGGTAACTAGTTACCTCAATATTTTAGCTGCTGCCCATTCTGTTTCTAGTTACCTTTTTTTTTTGGTAGATTAGCTTGCCGTTACGTGAATGGTTGAAGATATCATGATTAATTTTTATGCAAAATATGCAGGCATTGTTACTTGACGTCCCATTGTCCTACAGCTTCATCGCATTGATGAAGGTAGAGAATATGCTGAATTTGGACATTCCAAGAAAAAGGTTCACTGATTTTGGTGATAATTTTCTTTTAATGTATTTATTGTGTAATTTCATTGTCTGGAACTTTGCTTTCGTATCCAGCCATAGATATCGCCTGTATTCCAGTAATGATAAATCTTGTGAAAAACATGATCGCTGGCGGTGGAAGCTTTTCTTCTTTCAATTTTTGTTGACAAAAGAACAGTATAAGAGATTAAAAGTATGTTTGAGAATTGTTTATAAACGGTTAAAATTAATAACAGTTCAAAATAATTGGTGGATAAGTGTGTAGTATTTATGAGTCATACAAAATATGTGAACAAAAAGTGATTTCATTGATTATAAACAATTTATAAATGGTAGCCAAACAAGGGCTATTTATTATTATTATTATTATTATTATTATTATTATTATTATTATTATTATTATTATTATTATTATTATTATTGTGTTTTCTCATAGATAAAGTGTGGAATTTTATTTTTCCTTTGTTACAACAAATATAAGGCCGTGGTTGGTTTGTCATTTTTGGCCCATTTTCTATTTTCCGTTTTTGAAAACGTGAAAAACGCTTTTGTTCCGTCGTTTTCGAAAACGTATTTTCGAAAACGAGTTAAAATTTATAACTGAAAACGTAAAACGACTTTTTATCGTTTTCAGTTATAAACTAGGAAGCACCGACACGCTCCTGGCGACGACGTACCGATGTCCAACACGAGTCGGACACCGATACGTGTCCGACACGTCGTCGACGCGTGTCAGAGTCATGTGAGGCTTTGGTGGGCCGAAAAATGAAACCAGTGGAAGGAAAGAAAATCGCGAAGGAAAGAAGAAAAGAAAGAAGAAGAAGAAGAACCTGGTAGCTGGTTGATTCTTAGAGAAAGAAAGAAAAAAAGAGAGAAGAGAAGATGAAGAGACGGCTGAAATGAAAAGTCATACTTTACCAATACAAATTTTAATTTGTGGGCCCACCACTGTAAATTTTCTCCTTTAGTGCACCTTTTGTATTTTTCAATGGCTATAATTCTTTATAAAATAATGTACAATATTTTGTTTGATCAATTTGTACCATGTAACCCTTCAACAACAAATCAAACTTATATAACAACACATACATTTTCTTCCTTAGTCACAGTAACTTGCGAAAATTGAAAGAAAATCTCAGAACATCCAAGTTTTTTTTTTGTTATTTCATCTTTTTCAAAAATTTCATCAATCCACATTTGAAAAATCATTTGCAAGATCAAGAAGAAGATATTTTTTCAAGTTTCGGGTAATATCACTCCTATTTTACTTAAGTATTTAAAATTATTTTTCTTTTGAAGTTATGAGTGATAATGCTATGGATGATGATTTGTCTAAACCTCTTTGGAAATATATTACAAAACTTGATAAATTTAATGAAAAGGGTAGTAACATTCTTTGGCAATGTAATTTTTGTAATGCAACTAAGACAAGTTCTTACACAAGAGTGAAAGCACATTTGTTAAAATTACAAGTCTATGGAATTGGGGCTTGTGGAAAAGTAACTATGAAAGATATATGTGAAATGCAAAAAATGGAAGATGAAGTCAAGTTGAGAATGCAAACTAAGGCGGGGAAAAGAGTGCCACTGCCATCGAATAATATGGGTTCTAAGGATTGTTATGTTTGGAGGAAAGGAAAAGAAAGAATAGTGCAATAGAAAATGCTTTTAATGTGACAACACGTGACCAATTTAATTCCGAAATTGCTAGAATGTTTTATTCAAGTGGTTTGCCTTTTACTCTTGCAAGAAATCCATATTACATTAGTTCTTATACTCTTGCTTCCAATAGTCGAATTTCGGGGATATTTGCCTCCCGGTTACAAGCTGAGAACTACTCTTCTTCAAAAAGAGAAAAAAAATGTGGAAAGATCATTAAATCCAATTAAAGGCACATGGGTGGAAAAAGGAGTTACCATTGTGAGTGATGGATGGAGTGATCCACAAAGAAGGCCACTAATTAATTTTATGGCGGTGACCGAGAGTGGACCAATGTTTTTAAAAGCGGTTGATTGTTCCGGTGAAACAAAAGATAAATATTTTATTGCTAACTTGATGAAGGAGGTTATAAATGAAATTGGTCATCAAAAGGTGGTTCAAGTAATAACCGATAATGCTCCAAATTGTAAAGGTGCTAGACAAATAATTGAATTGGAGTATCCTCATATTTTTTGGACACCATGTGTTGTACACATACTAAATCTTGCTTTGAAGAACATTTGTGCCGCAAAGAATGTTGAAAATAATTTGATTACATATGAGGAATGCAATTGGATTACTAATCTTCATGATGATGTAATGATTATAAAAAATTTTATCATGAACCATTCCATGAGACTAGAATGTTTAATGAATTTGTGCCTTTGAAGTTGCTTTCCGTAGCGGAGACACGATTTGCTTCTATTATTGTCATGTTAATGAGATTTAAGCTTATTCGACGTGGTCTTCAAGCTTTGGTTATTAGTGAAAAATGGTCACTTTATCGAGAAGATGACATGACGAAGGCAAGTTTTGTAAAATTGAAAGTGTTTGATGATCTTTGGTGGGACTCTATAAGTTATGTTCTTTCCTTCACTTCTCCCATTTATGACATGCTTAGATTTTGTGATACGGATAAACCTTGCCTTCACTTGATTTACGACATGTGGGATACAATGATTGAGAAAGTGAGAGGAATAATTTATAGGAATGAGAAAAAAGTTCAAGAAGAGGAATCATCATTCTACAATGTTGTTCATCGGATACTTGTAGATCGTTGGAACAAAAATAACACTCCACTTCATTGTTTGTCTCATTCTCTAAATCCAAGGTAATTTTTAAATCTAATTCATACATTTAATGTTTATTTACATTATCATAATATTTAATATGTTTAGTTAGTTATTGAATGAATTGTCATTTTCCCCCCCTCTTGTTTAGGTACTATAGCGAGGAATGGCTTAATGAGGATCCCACTCGACTTGCTCCACATAGAGATGTAGAGATTTCAAGAGAAAGAATAAAATGTTTTAAGAGGTACTTGTCAAATGAAGAGCGTATTATGGTGAATAAGGAGTATGCCAAATTCTCAACTATGGAAGATGACTTTGGTGATTTTGAATCCATCCATGATCGTTACCGCTTGGACCCAAAGACTTGGTGGGTTATTTATGGTGCTTGCACACCTATGCTTCAAAGTTATGTTTTGAAATTATTGGGGCAACCTTCTTCTTCATCGTGTTGTGAGCGAAATTGGAGTACTTATTCCTTTTTGCACTCTCTTAAACGAAATAAGCTAAATCCAAAACGTACGGAAGATTTGGTTTTCGTCCATAGGAATCTTCGTCTCTTGTCAAGGAGGAGTACGCAATACTCACAAGGAGAGACTAAAATGTGGGATATCGGTAGAGATGCATTTGATACATTTGAAGATATTGGTGTGCTTGAAGTCGCTAATTTATCTCTAGACGAACCAGAATTGGAGGCGATGGTATTTGCTGATGGAGATGAAGATGTTGAAGAGATTCAAGATGAAATGATGTAATTAATTTCATTTTTACTTTTTGAACTTATGTCATTAAGAAACATTGATGAATTTAATGTCAAGTTTGATTTCTATTTATCATTATATATATGATTCAATAAGTACAAAAAATTAATACTTTAGACTATAAAATTAAAATAAACAAAAAATTTTTTAATCAACGTGTCGGCGATGTGTCGTGTCGGAACTTTTTTAAAAAATCACGTGTCGGACACTCGTATCCGTGTCGGTGCTTCTTAGGTTATAAATGTCGAAAATGCTCAAAACGCGAAAAACGGCCGTTTTCGAGGAAAACTAAAAATCGTTTTGAAAATGAAAATGTAAACCAACCACTACCTAAGTTTTTTTGTGATATATACTTTTATCATTATCAATGGAGGATATAAGCTCTTTTAGCTAATAACATAATTAAAATAACTGATAACAAATTAAAAATTTTAAATCCTTTTCTCTAAATTCTATGTAGACCCTAGTGTCAAACAATCAAGAAATAAAATCATGTATGATGATGGATAAATGTGTCAATCTTGAGAGATCCAAAATTTTTTGCAACTATATTTCATCATTTCTTTTATCTTCATTTTGGAGACTAATTTCTAGTATATTCTGTGCAGCTGCTGTGAAAAAAGAGATCTCTGATGAGACTGATTGAGAAACAGGACATGGCAAACAAATTTATAGTGTTCCAATATATCTCAGTATTTATTCCCCTAATGGTGAGGCGGGGAAGGATTATTGGTCATTTTTCATTTTGCAGATTCAATTCCCTGTTTAAAATAGTTTCTGACAATATTATGAAATCTGAGAATATCAATTTCTCCCATTTTGGTTGTAGTAGAGCAGAAATAAGATGAAAAATGATTCTGACAAAGCAATGGCAATACGTACGGTATAATATATTAGCAGCAGGGGCGGACCCACATGGGGTCATGTGGGGTCAGATGACCCCACAAAATTTTTGGGTCTTTTTTTTTTTTTTTTCCATTCAAAAAATGGTTGTTTTAACTCGTTTTCAACCCACTTTAATACATACTAAATGAAAAATGAAATATTGCATTTTTAATATCATTTCTAAGCATTCATGGCCTAATTTTTCACTTTTTATGGTGTATGAAATGATTGATCATAGCAAAAAATACGATGTATTAAATTTTTGACCCCACAACCCAAAACTGCTAGGTCCGCCCCTGATTAGCAGCGGATAAAACTCCGTCCCTTTCTTCCACACTTCCAAGAAAAATAAAAATAAATTAATGGATAACAATAATAAGTGTGTGACGACCCGAATCCTTAATGGTTCGAGTATCACTAAAATAAACTAATTTAAAGAATATTCAACATAATCATATAAATTATTTAAGCACTTACCAAAATTAAAATAATATAATGAATTTAATAAATTAATTTGGAACGAGAAATATTTTAAAACATTTAAAATCAAATGAAATGATAGTTTGATAACTTAATAATTTTATTATTGAAACTATTGCCATCATAAGCCATCTCCGTGTCAACCGCCTCGAATCGTCAATTATCTAAAAGTATAAACATAATGGGGTGAGAATAATTCTCGATAAGCGTGCATGGATAATGAATTCATATGTGTATTTCTACGAAAAATTCATAACTTACATAGGAAGACACGAAAATTAGACCGAACTTATATGGTGCTAAATTCTCGTGCGTAGCGTTACTGAACTCTGGTTCGTTCTTAATAAAACATACGTAACATGGACCAAACATAACATAACCGTAGAAATGTTACATACATAAACATTAACCGCCATAAACATAAAGTACAACTTACCATTTTTTATTGGACAATCCAAAATGATAAAATGAGTTATTGTTAAAAAGTGATCCTTGAGCGTGTGATTGTAGAAGAGAAATAGAGGAAGTGGAGAGACAAAGTTATAAAGGTAGAGAGGGAAAGTGTGTAAATAGTTGTTGTGGGGTAATTTAGTGTTGGGTTTGTCTCCTATTTATAGTGAAAATTCTTAATCATGTGTAGAAAAGTGAAAGGAAATAACTAGATGTTAGGCATGGTCAATGCTTAAATGGTGTGTTGTCATGAAAATGATAAAATCAATAGCTTAAATCATGTGGTCAAATCAATTCATTTAGTTTAAAACTTGGTGTAAATAACGCATGTAGTCAAATCAATTTCCTTTATTTACATGATCAAATCAATTACATTGGCTTGAAATGTGGTGTGAATCATGCGTGTGGTCAATAAATCATCATTAATCAAGACCAATTAACATATTTACATATGTTTTATGCATGGTTTCATCTAATTTCCAAAATAACTTTCTACTTAGGTCCTCAACTATCGGTTAATAATTAATAAGGTCATTAGACTAGACCAATAATCGACAAGGTCATTTAACTTTAATAACGGTGCAATCAAGTCCTAAATTTAAATTTAATTAGCAGTAAAAATTTGGGATGTTACAATAAGAGTTCTGTGCAAGACATGTAAATTGTGTGTGACATCCAGCATGCATAAAGCAAGTGAATAACTAAAGAAAGTTTCTGGAGAAAAGCCATGTATGTCAGGGACATTTGATTGTCGTTTATTAAATAGTTATGTTAATGGTCTTGGTTTTGACTATGGATTGTGTTTTGAAGTTGCAGTTGTTCTCTTATTCTTATTTTTTATTCTATTTATTGATTTTACTTTTTGGCTTACTTAGTTTTGTACACAGATAACGAACAAAGTTCTGTTGTCCATTTCTGGTTGCCTTTTACCATATGAGTTGAATGAATGTGATGTAACTGTATTCCCGCGTTTTATATTTTGAGTGCAGTGAGTAATTTGTTCATTTCTGATTGTTGTCGTTGTGAATTTGACACCGATCGATCTTCCTGGACTTACAAAAGTAGCTGTTGGTCAGTTTTGCATCCCCTACTTTTTGTGTTTAATCTTTTCTGTCACACTTCCCTTTATCACACAACCTGATTGGTTTATTGCTGGTTTATCATAGAGGGTCAACCTGAAAGCATTGTGCACGATATTGAGAACATGGTCCGGAGTTATATTGAGAAGGTATTCTACAATTTTGAGGTTGCTTTGACCATAAAATTTGTGAACGTTATTGAGAACTTCCAATTGTAATAGACTGCTAAGCTATTACTTCTAGACTTTAGTTTAAGATGAGTTTATTTAAATTATATTTTCTGGTTAAAATAATTTACTTAAGCCAAACTGTATTATTTTGGCGATTTCTCCTGCCAACCAAGATCTCGTAACATCAGATGCAATCAAGATTTCTCGTGAAGTAGACCTGAAAGGTATGACATTTGTCAAACTGTGTGGGGGGCATGAGATAGTGTCTTATTGAATGTTATTGCGATTCACAGTCAGCATGTTTTAGTGTTTACATTTATTAGTCTGTTATCACGTTCCCACTTAGTGATTATTAGTTTTGTTTCCACTGTTTGGTGGCTTTGTGATGATTTTGTTCCAGGAGAGAGAACATTTGGAGTTCTAATGAAGATTGATCTTATGGACAAGGGTACTGATGCTGTCGATGTAAGTTGAAATCTTTATATTGCTAATCTAACGATACTAGTAAGAATAACCATAATCAGCAATGACAATTTAAGAACTGTCTTTTATAAACTTGGCTTGATAAAAGAATCATTTTTCGCCACTCAGGTTGATAAGCACTACTTCTATAAAAGGTCCAATAAAATCATATCTTTTAAGTTTGGTCTACCTCACCTTTCCATCTGCTTTACTAATATTTTATCAGACTTGTGAGCTAGATTTTTCTCTGTATCTACTCATGACATGCTCCATCCACCTAAAATTTCATTTCCTCAGTTTATCCTTAATTGGTGTTGTTGACACATAAAAATTCAGCCCAAATCGAACAGCTCAAGGAGTGAAGCCCAATTGGAGGATCCCCAAATCAGATAACCCAAAGAACGAAGCCCAATCGAACAAATCAAGATGAAGGCCCAAATAAGGAGGCCCAAGAACGCGGTAACGCCATCGCCCAAGTTGCAAGTCGCCCAGAATCTGAGCGAATGAAGTGTCATACAGTCGCCCAGAGTTGTTGCTCTATTCTCGCCCAAACCTTCAAGTCGCCCAAGGTCTTAACAAACATAAAGCGTCGTGGTTATCAAAAAGTGCAGTTATCAAAGCAGTTATTAAAGCAGCCCTATCACGTTCCACGATTCAAAGAACTTAATCGAAAGCAGTTGAACGATGAAGAGTAATGGCAGCAGTTAAAAAAGGCAGTTTTCATGATAAGTTGGCCATTACGAAGAAAGTGGGTAGTTATAGAACGATCAAGCAGTTTTTAGGGCGGTTGATCACAAAGAGATCGTCCATGAAGTATAAAAGGGAGAAAGGACATAGAACAAAGGACCGAATCCAAAACTCTCAAACAGAGAACATGTAATTTTCATTTCCTTAGTTTTTAGACTTAAATACTTATCTTTCAGTAACTCATGTGCTTGCGCCCCTTGGAGGCCGTTGTTTTTAATTTCCAATTGTAAAGTCATCGCCAATAAAAGAACACCCCTTTTTGGGACTTTGTCTCAAGAGGTTTGTCCCTTACACAATCGTCTGATCCTTTTTAATTGTTAGCGACTAACCCGCGCGAAACAATTTGGCACACCCAGTGGGACAGTGGTGTTAGGTGTTGAAAGTACAAAAGGGGAAACAATATGCCTCAGAGATCCGATAAGGAAGCAGCAAGTCAGGGAGGAATCCAGTCTATGATCGAGCGATATGAGAAGCAGCATGCCTCTCCATGAACAGATGGACAGAATCAGAGCAGTAACAGTCGTTACGAACTAATGACGGAGTTGAGTCCTCGAACCATGCGTGCATTACTTGGAGAACTCACGCAAGACATCGTTGAACAGGTAAATCTTCGAAGTATTCATAATATGGAAAGATTTACGCAAAATGGGAATGTACACTATGACAACATGGCCAAACAACTAAAGACGTTGAATGAAACAATGAATAAGTTAGTAGGCCAAATATGTCAACCGGCTATACCTCTTACAAATCACTTTCAAACTAGGACAATCGTGGGACATAATCCCTCGGTCCTAAATCCGAATCATGGGGTAGAACCGCTTTCTGGTCCCTCTACTTCAAACCAAGGGGGTACTACAGTGCCAAATCAAAACAATGGTAGTAGTATGCCTAACTTGGGGGGTAATCCAAACGTGAGAGATAATGTCCTAAACAATTGACAGAATATTCCACGTGGTAATGAGGGAATCGATGTTCAGGCTAATGATAATGGCCCTAATCATGGTAATTTTGTTGCCAATCAAGGACCAAACATCAGGCCTCATGCAAATCAACCGGTTAACCAACCTGTAGGAATTCCATATGACCCCAACATCATGTTGAGGAACCAGATTATGGAAATCGTACAGGATCAGATGGCTTTTGGGGTGTGTCCCGTCATTAGGCCGACATACACAAAGTCATATCCTGATTGGATAGACCAAGCATATCCATGGCCTAGAGGGTACAAAGTGCCAGAATTCTCACTGCTTACCGGTCTAGGAGAGGTGTCTACTCTAGAACACATAGGGCGATTCACATTGCAAAGTGGTGATGTAACCGATTACCATAAAATGAGGCTTTTCCCTAGTTCATTAACAGGAGTAGCTTTCATCATACAAATTTTTCATTAGATTCTTTTTATTATTCAAATTAGATTTTTAAATTGGATCT